AATTTGAAGAAGCTGTTTTCATGCGATATACGAAGAATTCCACCGAGTTGGAGTATCAGATATTGCACGATAAAACTAGTGATACAGACCATTCTAATAAAAATAATAATCCAAACCATTCTAATAAAAAACCTAGTAATAAACCTAAATTGCAAAAAAAACTCTAGTTGGGTTTGGCAGTATTTTCGCCGAAGATGTCCATCTTGAAAATAGAAAACACGTGGAAATTGTACCATAATTGTGAAAAGTAAAAAGGCACCAAATGGAAAATGGGAATGTGGGCAGTTAGTTAAGACTCAGGGTTCAACTGGCAACTTTCAAATATATTTAAATATACATGGAATTACTAAACCTACCAAAGTCATTGATACAATCGAACAGCCAACAATTACTGAAATGTTTCATCGTGCTGCTAGACAAAATACTTGTCAAAAAGAATCCATCAATTATGCTTTGATAGAATGGATAGTTACAGATTTGCAACCTCTTTATGTTTTGAAAAATGAAAGTTTTATTAAACTTATTCATATTTTAAATCCATATTACAAACTTCCATCTAATAAATATATAAAGGCGCTAATTCATCAAAGTTATAATTATTTAATAAAAAATCTTAAAATGCTTCTAGCAACAGAAATAAAAACATGCGGATTAACATACGACTTATGGACTGCACATTCTAAAAGCAGATATATAGGTATTACATGTCATTTTATTAACTCTAATTATGAATTAAAAGAAGCTATACTTGCAATTAAATATGCTCCATATTCTCATGATGCTGTAAACATTAAAGCTGAATTAGAGGAAATAATTAATGACTGGGGGCTTTTAGAAAAGATAATTTCGATTACCACTGACAATGCTGCTAATATAATTAAGGCTATTAATTTAATGAGTATAGATCGGGTTCCTTGTATGGCCCATATGCTTTAGCTTGCTATTGGTAAAGGGTTAAAACCTGCAGAAGTTTTAATAAAATGTGCAAAAAGATTGATTAACTTTTGAGTACACCTAAACAAAATGAGCAATTACGAAAAGCACAGGAATTGTTAAAAATTTCAAAAGAAAATATTGATAACAATGAACAAGAGTTTTATCGTGCAATATCTGATACTCCAACTCGGTGGAATTCTTCGTATATCGCATGAAAACAGCTTCTTCAAATT